CAGCGGCCGGACAGTCTCCTGCGCCGGGCCGCCCCGCCCCGCGCCTTCGCTTCTGCCACTGGAGAGGAGGGGGCGTGGGAAGGGAAGACCCACCTTCCTTCTTTTCCTTCTTTGAGCCACTATGGAAACGTTAAAAAATGTCAACGCTTTTCGATATGTGAGACAAAACGGTTGGAAGGTTTTTGAAAGTTTAAATGCGGTGCTTTAGGATGTGTGGCTTTCAGGTCCTCCAGCCCCGAAGCCCGTACGTACCCTTTTTAAGAATGCTGAAGAGGCAGGAGGCAGGGATTTTCTAAAAGTTGTATTGATAAACACACTTGCACAAGCATATGCTAGGCACACACATAAACTATAAACATTAGCGAAAAACACAATATGGCGTACAGCTACGCTACCTAGTGCTGTAATCCGCTGATCTCTTAACTCTGAACCGAGTCGAATGAGGTCACTACCAGGGTGACAGCTCTCCAGTAAAAATTTCAGTGAAACAGGAAGTAATTTGTAAGCCTGTGGGTGTAGTACTGTCCTCAGAAACAGCACTGACCCAAGCTAAGTTGAATATGTTAACCTTTGTAGAGATGTCGAAATTGTCTTCACTATTTTTTTTTTTAACCTTTAAAAATAACCAGAAAATTGCTGGAGTTTTCCCACTACTTGCCGTGTTTACATTTCAGGTGATAAAATTATCAGAGGTCACTCATCCCCAGGATGTTTTCAAGGGAACTCTATTCTAAAGTTTACTCTTGTAACTTGTTGCCATTGAAAGTTTTAAAACATGTAATTACTATATCGTAAATAAATTGTAACCATTATTTTAAAATTATAAATGGTTTATATTCAGTTTTGTTCCCGCTTCTAATTTCAAGGACCCTTTTGCCTTTTTTTATGCGAATAGTTAAGTTCCACTCTTCAACCCTGTCTACCTATGTGTAAATTTGACTAGTCAAGAATTACCTATTTTATGCATTTTTACTTACAAGCAGGTATAGCTGTGTTTCTAGGGAAAAAAATTACTTTAGTTTTCAGGATGTATCCCAGTTGATGCACAGGTAATACATAGTGATGCCCTTGTTCCATCTCTTGAATCTTCTCCCAAGAAAGGCTTGGAATTGTCCTTGAAGAATTTCTTACGTGAGTGGTATGTGCCCAAGATTTAATTCACAAGATTGTGGTTTCTATTGAACTCAGTCTTGAAGGATTTTAGTCTTGAAAATACATGATGATGAAGTAAAGTGGTAAGAAGAAAAGTTAGCTGCTCAGTGTTTTGGGCAATTGTTTATTTTTTGGTTTTTTGATTTTAAGATCTTACAGACTAGAGGAATACAGGCCTTTGAAATATGAAGATCAGGCAACAAGTTTGCAGTCTACCAGCCTCCAAAGTAGTACACCTTTGCATGGTGAGATCCTAATTTTAACTGGCTAAAGAAATTTAAGACTAAAAATCATCAAATTTTCGCCATTTCTAGGAAGAAGTCTTTAGACTTACGAGTCTGGGTTAGTGTTTCAACACTATTATACTAAGGAAATGCAAATACAGACTCGTGTACATTGACTACTGAAAGACAATCTGACATTAAATGGAATAATTGAGGAGTAGAAACTGCATGTGAAGGTTATAATGGAGAGGTGTTTAGAACAACTGTACTGGGTGTGATGCTAATTTCCTATGTAGTGAGGCCAGAAAGCGTGTGAGATTCACAAATATTCCAGCTCCTCTTTCCCTCAATTTAATAAGAATTTTACTACTTGGTTTAGGAAGAGAATCCAAGGGCAGAGCCATTTTAAATGAATTATTTTTGTCTCATTAGTGAAAGTCTTCAGAAGACTTTCTAGACAAATAGCATTTCTTTAAAAAAGGCTAGACTGAATAATTAGGCCATTTTAGAAGAGGAATAAAAGAAATCAACTAAATTTCTTTAAAGGATCTATAGTTTATAAATGAATTTCAAATTATTCCAAGTATCTTCAGAATCAGTGGGAAGGAGAATTTAAAAAACGTGGAATATAGAAGAGCCTAATGGACTCTTATTTTCTGAAATAATCATGTTTTTTTCAAAAATAGATGGTTAATAATCAAATTGTTCATGACACTGTTCTAGACACTTTGTATATAATAGTGGACAAGAGAAAAAATTGCCAGTCTTTGTGGAGCTTACATACATTGTCATTAAATGATAGTATTTTTTTTTAACTTCATATCGTTGCGGGAGACTTTGGGGTGAAATTTTAAGAGACTATCTTCTTTTGAAAGAGCGTATTGGAAGTTTGAGGCAGAGGAATATGTTTACCAATTGCCAATAATAGGAAACAAGCTAAGTGTAATTTTATTTGTATTTTTTTGTTATGGTCATAGTCTTCATATTTTTCAATAATTTTGGCAGGGGTTATATATTCTGTCTTTGAAAGAAATAAAATGTTTTATATTAAAAGAAACTTGTCTTGAATTTTACTGTAACATTCCTATGTAGCATGATCTTGTTTGCAAAGTGTGGTGAAACTAATGCTAGAATATTTGTTTATTTTTCCTTAGATTTGTTGTAGTAGTATATCTGAAAAATCAACTACTTCAATCTTTTTTCTGTTGTTGTTTTAGCAAGAGAAAGTGAAATTTGTAATTAATTCATAGGTAACATTAAAGAGATAGAAAAAGGACTACAAAAATGCTTTGTTATTTAAACCTTAAAAAAAAAACAAAAGTATTTGATTGGCACTTACCTGATTTAGTAGACTATTTGTAATGCAAGAGGAACATTACAGAAGGTTTTAACATTACTTTAATAATTTAGTCTGTAGGTGGAAAAATCGTAGTTTCTTAGGGAAACTTGCTGTTTGGTTAAATGAGTATCAGATTTAACTCTGAGTTTGTGGTTTCAGGTAGTAGATGTCTCACCTTTCTAAAACTTAGTTTATACTTCTCAAATAGCAAGTTCTTGTTTTCATTATTTTCCTTTGTTTCTGTGAGTCTTACTTTTGCTAGCCAGATACAAATTTGGCCCTTCAGTCGAATAGCTTTTTTTAACATACATTTTTCCTTCCCCACTTCTCCCATCCTCTGCTGTTGAGGGTTAGTATCTCCATACCTGTATTAGATTGCCATGAGAATGTGTAGCATAATCAAGCTCTTCAGAAAGGTACATATTAATGCATTTAAGAGTACTTTGTGGGCTGGGGATTTAGCTCAGCAGTTCGGTGGCCTGCCTTGTGAGGACCAGAGTTCAATCCCCGGTACCAAAAAAAAAAAAAAAAAACCAAACCAAAACAAAAAAGAGTACTTTGTAATTGCTTCTGGCTATTTGTGTACAGACTTGTCTGTGTATTAAAGCTATAAATCAGAAGATTTAGGAGGAAATAGATTTTACAACTAAGGGAATATATACTTTCAGTTCACTTTGTAGATAGCAAAATGGTTAATAGAATATTAAAAACAGGACTTTTTCTGGTAAGGATGGTTGATTAATGTGTGTTTATATGTATGTGAGCATATATTTATATATGAGCAGTTTTGAATAAAGACATTTTAGTACTGGAAAATAATCCCAGTGCTGCCCTATGGTCTTGACA